CTACAAGATAAAATAGAATGACCAATCATAACATTACCAACCAATGTTGTCTTTCAGCGATCATTTTATCATTTTTCTAAAGCTGAGGGTGTAACCGCTCTCACACCTCATGTATTCATTCCTGTTAACTATTCATGATTTATTTATGGTATAAGTTAGGTTTGGAACGCAATGAAGTTAGAGACGAAGTACACAAAATCACTTAGGCAGTTATTTGTTGCAATTAAATCGGCTGTATCATCAAATAATATCTCTACTCATCCTTAAAAAATTCTGGAACTTGTCTGTACTGAGATTTACAAATATTTTGAAGCATTGCACTTTAGACATCGATAAATTTCCCTTATGCTATTGAAAGCAAACACAAACCTGAAGACTTGTGCTTTTGGGCAGTTGCTGCCACTGGACACCAGTCAGTGGAATAATAATCACCCTGAAACGAAGTGAACATTTATCTTTGAATAAAAATTGCAGCAATCAATGCAGATGAAAATGAATAAAAAATATCGCACCTGATCATTAATGAAACTGCGTTGAAATATTTTGTGGTTAGTGCCAATCTTCAACGGGCCATTATAATAATTTTCACCAATGAAACGCCGTGTTGTGTTTTTACCGTCACCAAGTTTAAAATCAGGCTTAAAGTCTCTGCGAGAGACTACAGCGGCAATATACGGCATTGGTTGTGCGGAAGATATGGCCTTAGAATAAATCCCTAAGTCTGTGTTTTTAAAGTTAGAAGGCAATTGACTCCCTTCCGTGCAATTTTTCATTGCGACTACATAGAAATATCTGCAAGTTGAAGGCAAAACATTTTTTAAAAATACATACATAACCTCTGCTTTCGTTATTCGTTAAAATATATGTTATGCATGTATCTGCACTGCCAGAGAAAAGCGACGAGTCATCAAAACTTTTCCAGAGAGATATTTAGCTTTTCCAGAGAGATATATATGAACTCACCATCTTCAGCAGTTCTAAAAGTAGCTGTAGTTGATCTACCAAAGCCTTCAGAATTGCCAGCGGTTACATTAACTTTATACGTTGCGTAAGGAACAAGATTCGTAATGTTGTACGGTTTTTTGTCAGTTACCTCCAAAGTTTTATCGAAAACAATCATAGTATCCTTCAGCAAAATCAATAGATATCTTGTAAGAGGATTCGAGATATTTGTACCAAGTTTTACACCAGTTTTTTTGGGATGTTTCCATGATATCTCGAGGTACGTCGATGCAGATTTGGTTGCAATGAGATCTGTTGGTTTGTCTGGGAGTAAGTCTGCACGATAAAAGAAAAATCTACAAATTGAACCATGTGTAGCCCCTAAGTGAAATAAGTGTTCTGCTTTTTCTCCAATAACACGTGTTAAACTTAACTGCATGTTAAAAGGCTTGTTTCAATAAGTTTATTTCAACAGAGAAACTAACACTTTAGCCTTCATGGAAAATTGTTCTGTTTTGTCAACTAACTCATGTTTAATTAATACTCAGAGAAAAAACTTTATATATTGAAAATTAAGTGCTTACAGTGCAAAGTAAACCTGGTATATTTTTTACCTCTTACCTCCACCACAAATTTCAATTCGTAAACACGGTGCACCAACAAATTTCAATGGAAAGATTCGCAAAGCTTTGATTTAAGGCCACCAGAAAACTTTTCTATAGCCGCATCATTGTAACCATTTTTGTTTCCTAGATAAATCTGGAATAAAACAAAAAAAGATTTTCGTGTATTTGCAGAGCAAGGTTAGAAGAAAAGGTTTGTTTAACGCTGTCCAGAGGAGAGTAGTTTATGCATTGTCTATGTATCTCTTCAAATCATGCACATAGCTACAATTTAAACTTTATAATCAAATGCAAGAGTCCTTCGTAGTGCAGGAGTAACCAAGACAATCAACACAGTGACGTAGCTAGCCCACAAATTTGGTCGTGCTATATGTAAAATTCTCACAGCTCGCTAACTGTAAAAATAATTGATCTCTAAAGAAATGAATAATGCTAATGATCTTAAATTTACATAGAACCAGCAATTTTGCGTGCCGGCTACACCACTGAAAGAACATCTGCACACAAGTTTGTATATAAATAGCAATTTAAAAGTTTACTTAGTTTATAACTTCATTTCTTTTTTTAATTTTCCCTTTAAATTCATAATATACAAATTCGATAAGTCTACTGTTACCTTCTGGGATTTTTCAGATTTCCAGTTCACACCATCAATGTTTGTCTGCAAGTGATATTTAGTTACAAAGCTTGAACTTGAACTGTCTCCAAAGACTGCAATAACGTTAACTGTATAAAGACTTGGGAAATTCAGTTGAAGATAATGATTGCCATCTGCAGCAGAAGCACACCATGAACTACCACTGGATATTCTTGCTTTAGCAGCACTACGACTCTTTGGGAAGGCAGTAAACCAAGAATCTGGGAATTTTTCTGCGTTTTTTAATAGAGGATTATCAAAAACATGACCTTAAATAGAAAAGAATTTGGTTGAAATGCATTATAACATTAGAACTGGTTTGATTTGATAGAGAGCAATGGTGCACTCTCATATTGTTCTCCATTCACGTAAAATTGGAAAAATTAAAAACTGTTTTCTTAAGAAAGAAAAAGAGCACAGATACATTGGAGGAATACGACTGATTTTGCATGCTTTCATTAAATAAGTTTAAATTCCAGTTGGAATCAAGCCAGCTATGACAAGAAACCGTAAGTATCTTGTCAAATAACAACAATACCGTAGCGATAAAATTCCATTAAAGAGTGAACGTTAATCGTATTGCAGAGGAATGACAATTGGACATTTTTTGAAGCACGAAATGAAGTAGCAAGAGTAAAATTAATTTAATCCTCAGTATTCGCAGCAATCCTGTTTTAATTATTTATTATTTAAGAGTAGCGATCGTTTATATTTTGTGATGCTATATTTCTTTTGTTATGTAAAAGAAAAATTGTGAAATTCTCCAAGTCAGCGTAAAATAAAGTGACACTGCGATGTCAGATGCAAGTCTTGATGATAGAGGTAAGTCATGATGCTTAACAATAGACAGATGTAATTTGAGAAGACAAAAGTAACATATTCATTCGTTAAATTCTTCGCTAAAAATATTTTTCTAACGTCATACAAATGTGTCCTACAATACGTTAATACATTCAAAAAATTGAATGAGAATGCTTACATGTAACGTACGAGTATTGAGAGCAATCATTATTTTGAGTGATAGCACATTGAGATAAATCGTTCACTCGAGCATCACATTTGACATTTCCAGGTATAAACGATTGATGCATCAAAGATGATAGTGACATTGAGCCTTCCACAGATACTGCGGTAGGATAACCAAGTTGTTTACAGATAATCGTCTTTATTTTGTGCAAAAGGCCTTTGTTGCAAATAGTGAAGTTTCTATACTTGGTAATAACATTCACGACACCTTTGTTTGGAAGATTCGATTTAGACAGGCGTACATCCATAACTACACAAATCAAAATTATTTTTTCCTTTAAATATGATCATGGCGCATATCTTAAAGTGAAATCTGTGTTCTTAGAAGTGGTTTTATGAACATAAATATGACAAATCTCGTCCATGAATAAAATATATACACGGAGTTTGAATATCAGAAGAACACAGAAGGTGACATTAACTTAAAAAAAATTTTAGTTTGAAAGCACTTAACCAGAAATGTTTTCCACATTCTGATGGACACAGTATCTTATAGATTTACACTTAAAGTTGGTAAGCACTGTTTTGATTTTAATCTTTAAGTTGACAATGAACTACAGGCAAATAAGTTGAACTGAGAACTTTTCTCTTGTGTTGTAAACACGAATCACAACAAAATGTGTCTAAGTGATTATGTGAATCATTAATGAAACCAGAACAAATACCGTTTTTTATAGGTGAGCGCTGCGTTTAGCTTCCCAATTCATAGGAATTGTAATGAATCTATCTTTGTATATATATACAGTATATGTAAAAATTCTCTAGTGTGAAGTCATGAAGACACCCGATGAAAATTCAAATTTGTGTCAACTTTTCTAAATTGATAACGTACATAGTATAAAAATGAGCACCATACCATTGCGCATTAAGGTCAAAACTTGTCCAGAAGCTCTTTAATAATAAGCAAAATATAATCTGCCCATATAATACTTACGATTGCAAATTATTCTGTATGGCATACTTGTGTAGTTACATTGATATTCAAAGTAAAAATATTTCTCCAAACCAGGACAAATATTTGAAGGGAAATGATTATCATCAACAGTTACATTACAATTTCTTTCACCATCGCAGTAATTTTTAAGGTCACATGTTACATCGACACTACAATTGTAATCAAAACTTGAACCACAAATGCTTCCTTTTCTCAATCCACGATATTCTGCAAATTTTATCACCATATATTGATTATTAGGACATCTGGCGTTTGTTATATTTTTTCCAGCACATGTCACTGATCCTATAGAAGACACACAAAAAATGAGTAAATTCCAATCTATACTAGCTTATTTGTGAATTCCTGTAAAATAAAATTGATTTGATAAATATGAAGTGTGTGATGGCAGTGACTTCACTGGCGCCATTCCTATATCTGCGGCCTTTGCAGTGGCTTTTAATCAGAGTTTAAGTATATATACGCTAACTGGATGAATATTCTCACTTGCCAAAATTGAATCGCTGATCTTCTTCATTTTTACAACTGACAAGTTTCAAGTAGGGCTGTGCTACTATACATTTATTATAGCGTGAAAAGAATAGACCACCCCAATTTGTTTGGGTTATGGTATTGATGGCTCCGCAATTTCCATTAAAATTTCCATAAGATAACCCCTCATAACTTGCGTATCTCACAAGACACCATGTTGTATTCAAGCTATTCATGGAGCCAGATTGTAAAAATTTAAAATAAGCTGACTCCTTAAAACAATTCTTTGTATACAGGATGTAGAAATCATCCCAAACACACTTTCCTGACTGAAAATGTTTGTTGAAAAATCCATTCGTATCTGAAAAAGGACAATGAAACATGATAAAATTGATTGAAAATACCACACTCTACAAAATATATATATAAAAATAATATGACTTTATGAAAAATAATTTAGCATACTGAATTCTATCAATATAGGAAAAAACACTCCAAAAAAAAGTCATCTTGAAATTCAACCTTTCTAAAGAATTAAATAAACCAATTGCTGTTGAGGGTCATTTTAAAAATAATGGCGTATGCAAGACTTTAAGGCATCCAGCATGGAGCATTGAGCTGAAATACATGGAACGCTACCTGTAATACAAAACCCTAATAATTTTTTAAAGCCGTCATTTTACCCCAGACACGCAAGACTTTACCCCAGACACGAGTGTGTAGTCAATAAAATTTAATCCGCGAGAGGAAATCGAAACACTAAACGCGCGTGTCTTTGGTGAAATCTCGCGTGTGTAGCGTAAAATATGGTTCAATTATATGCTTGATGTAGTGTTCCATGTATTTTAGTTCAATGGCATGGAGACTGAAAAATTTTACAAACAAGTTGAAAAGTGTAAAAATCAATTAATAAAAATTTCACGGCGCACGGTCTGTTACGATGGAAAAGGAGAGTTATGGTTTGTTTACGCAATTGAAATATTTGAAATATTTTAAGATTGTTTGCTGAACCTGATTTTTCATCTGTATAAACTCCCATGACTTTCGTTTTGATGAAAAGGAAGTTTATCTAAGCACTTATACAAATTTGTGCCCAGAAAAGTTGATGATTTAGGTTAGTATTATTCAAACTTGAAGACAAGGAATATATAATTCAATGTAAAACTGAATTGTGAACTCTGTAAGCTGTACACTCTTTTGGTGGAGTTCATTTAAGTTGTGCTGTGAAATAGTGCTCTTGATAATAAGAATACCAGAGTTGCACAATTTAAAATTCCAAACAATTTAAATAAATATCATGCCAGGGCTTATACAAAATCGTGAGGCTTTTTTACGGGTTTATAAAGGTTTATACATGCAGAGGAGAGATGCATACAAATATGTACAGGGATATTATACAGAGGGTTAATATACAACGAAATTTATTTCTACTGAAGTGATATAAGAACATTCTCCCGTTAAAAATATTTAACAATTTTTGGATTAAGTTGAGCATGATATAAAAGAATATTCAGACCGAGGTCAATTGGATATCTAGCGAAGCAAATCTGAGGGGGATAGCGCTGACTGCAGTCTGATTGAAAAATTTTTGCGGTTCGCTTTCGTCTATTTCCTGTAAATACGCGATGAAAACTCTCTGGACAAACAGTTTAACACTTTCGGTGTTTTTTCGTCTATATTCCCGATAATTTGAGCAGAGTAAAACACTTGAAAGTGTCGATGAAGATTCTAACAAAATATTTCTTGTATATACAATTGTCTCATAAAGAAAATTCGTCACCTACAGGTAATTTTCAATGTTTTCTAGGTGATAGTGTATTGACAATTATTTGAAGGCTTTTAGACAATCACAATCGAGATTTCATCACCGTTGTATTATAATAATGAAGATTAACTAGCACAGATCAATATATGAACATCTTAACCCTAACCCTCACACCCATTAACAAACAATCAAAATCTTCCAACGTGATCGTTATCGGATAAAATCAATAAACTCGAAAATAACCAAGACACGCTCTTGAATTGAGCTTTACTCTTTTACAGGTTTACATTATAATATATGTATGACGAATTAAACATGCTTGGCTGTTCCGGGGTGTATTCTATTAGCTTTGCAACTGCAAAGAAACTCACTTAAGAGTATACGTACATAATGAATTGAATATAGGTGAAAGTGTCGTATGGATTTGAGCGAAGTTGAATATGAAGCATTATAATCACATTGGTGTACTATAAATTAAACTGACACAGGAGAAACTAAAATATACTGCTCTTGCATGTACCTTGTCGTTTTAGGCTCACGTTGATGACAACATAACAGGTGTGATTTTTTCCACCGTATAAAACATACACGTAAGGGATTTTGTGTTGTCCGATGGCAAGGTAAGGTAGAGGACACCCTTCTATTCTTTCTTTTATGTACTTATGTGAACACGTTAAGTTTTCTGGTTCTTTCCATTTTGCGGATATTGCTTTTCATATACGATAATGACGATAATCGACGTGTGAAAAACAGTAAGGTTCAAAATCATCGGGCTGCATCCACATGTCCCTAACAAAAAATTAAGTTATCTTTAACTGGTTGTCCAGAGAAAAAGAACAGTGGAAAGTGACACTCATTTGGCCACAAAATGTAACATACTATTCACATTGAATCGAAAGTCCTCCTTAAACCCAAATAGACAATAACTATACAGACTATATCATATAACTGCATATATATATTTTTTTTTGACTCTACTGTCATATTACTTTGCTTTTGTAACTAGACAGAGGAACAATGAACGAGATATTATGTTGCGTCAATGCTGTGAAGCTAGTGTATCCAAATCAGTTGAGTACTTTAACATGTACCTTACGGGTTCAAACCATTTACTTTAGGTACCTTACTTTATTGCACTTTCTAAGAACACGGTTTCAATTACATATTTAAATTAAACAGTACCTCAGTAATATAAGTGTTGTGATTGTTTGCCAAGTACATGGCCAGTTGATGTTATGTACTTACTGTAAACTAAACTGTTGTTTACTTTACCTTCAAGAGGACATATTTCACTAAACATTTTAAATCGCTCCAAAAGATATTTCTTCTCCTCAACACAACAACGTGTACGAGTATTGTTGCATTTCGAATCGATTTCAATTTTGTCCGCCACAAATTTCTTCCATTCTTCCTCACAAAACTCAAGCTCTTCATTCCAACCCATTTTCATTGTGAATCCTTGACCAAATAACAGCCACAATAACCACCATATCATTAAACTCATCATTGCATAGATCCAAGGATATACAGTAAAGCTCTAAATTATAATTGATTGTTGGATGTATGTACGTTATCACAGAAGACTTTAAATTTATATTTAGATCGACAATGACTACGTCACAATTACATCTGTGATGCAAGCAGATCACGATCAAAACGTATTTTGAGCAATATATGAGCATTATCTAAAAAAGTCATTTCAGCAAAATTGTGTAGAGAAAACTGTTCAGAAATAGATCGAGTTAGTCTCATATGGCTGCATGATGGCTCTCTTATTGGTAGCCACTGTAGCTATTATATAGGTACGTGGTTATAATTTTCTTAAAATAATGAAACTTGGTTAACTTTAAATTTATGCTTTATTCTTCTTACTCGGTTCAATATAAATTTCAACTTCTTGTGTTTCAAGAGATTTATTGAACGATGAAAAATGCTTTTAGTGGATAGCGCTAAGGAAGTGAAGAAAGCGAGATCAAATTAAAATCAAAGCAAATCATTTATTTTAGATACAATAGATTAAAACCAAGACGATGTTAAAATTCTTTATCTGAATATGAAAATAACAATTGTGCATGCAGAGCTTCCCATTAGCTATTTCATTTCAATTTCCTGTTATGTCATGATACATGTAAAAAACCTATGAAATCATAAAGTACTTTACAATTTCTTGTAACGCAGCCTCTATAGCTGTATAGTTATACCCGTATTGTCTCTAATGCTATACCCGTATTGGATTTTCATTCGAATTTTTAATTCATCGAATTCAACACATTAGCAGGTATAAAACAGCTAAATTGCTCAGTTGACAAATTCAAAAAGTTACAGTTGAAAAATTAACTAAATAAATTAAAAATTTCAAAAGATAATGACCAAAAAATAATGTTGAAAGGGTGTTAGATATTTACATTACATGCACCGCGGAGCTTTTTTTCTATTGAGGAGGGAAGAGCTCACAAAATAAACGAACGTCGATATTAAGGGCAGCTAAGTAGTTTTGGGTTTCAGCGTTATCTTGAGATTTCTCAAATTCTTTTACAAAATTTACAGAAATATCACAGAAAATCGTAGAAATGTTGTGAAACTTTTTACATTTTTTCAAGCTTATTCTTTTGCTTGCAGTTATTTGTGGAGTACTTGATGACAATGAATACTCCATAAGAATTGAAAATCTTACGGGGATTTCTTTTAATTTTTCGCAGGTTCCGCTAAAGAACAAAATTTTTTACAAAACAGTGGAATAGGATTTGCTTTTGAGGTAGTTGAGAGATTTGAGCAAAAAATATGATAGTATATAAATATATGAATCAAAACATTAATGTGATAACCTGTCTCAAATCCTACATCTAGCGTTTAGGTATTGTGGTATAAGAATCAAATCATTTGGGGGGCGTAAGTTGTGTGGTGTTTGTATTAACACTTATTTGCCAAACTCAGTCGAAGAAAAAATTTGCAGTATTAAATAATACAAATAAGATAAGGAAACTTCCGTTTTACTATCAACTACATTTCATCTTACCTTTGTTTTTTTATTAATTGAAAAACGGACACAATAAGGCGACTGCAGATATACACCTTAAACAAACAGAGAAAAATTAAGATACATACAAGTCAGACGAACAACAGAGTTGTGGCTTTCGCAACGTTTTACTTGCAACTGCTGGCCAAGGCTGTTTCCTCAAATGTACAGTGCCATGAGTATATACAAACACTCATGCCATCTGCCCAGTTATTCAACATTTGAATTTGTGCCAATTATCATATTACGAATCAACAATAATACTTTAAATGTTTGGAAATTTGGATGTTGTTGTTGGTTGACAAAGCAATGTTATAGAACATAGAGTTTTGACATTTTAGAGAATTACCTCTGTTTATAGCTACAAGCAACGAAGCACAAATAATGCATCTAATGTGGGCAAACACGGCAAAACAGGTTAATGACTTCAAGTGCTCAATGACGAAAAATTATATTGTTACAATATAAAACGTATTTTAAGTTTTTGACTATCAACTTTACCAACAGTAAATTCAATTTGCTGACAGTCATTAGCAAAATTTTAGGCCTAAATACAACAAATTGTGTCGGACAAAACTATACAGTAAAATTTACATCGTAATACCAGCTGTCTTTATTGCCTACAGGTGTTTGTTTAAACAATAGACACAATACGACAGCAGCGAAAATACAGTGAGAAATGACAAGAAAAACATCGCTTCAAGAATAATGACTTATGAATGAAAATGGTTTAAGTGATTGGGTTCAGCGGTAAAGAATTAAGAACAACATTTAACATTTCAATATTAATTTTAATTTGGTAAAAACAAACTTCTAGTTGATGCATTGGACAGCACTCTGTTGGATATTATCAATCTACTACAACAAAACAAGGATGAATTTCAATTTACAATTTTCACAATTTTTCATGTAATAGCTGTGTTATTAGTGTGCCAGTATTGTTGTTAAATACGTTTTGATGTGAACAGGTGGAAGGAAAGCATGTAGAAACATAAATTTCTGAAATACCAAATTAAAATTAGTTGTATTATAAGACCTTTACTAATTGGGAACTCTTTAAAGAGAAATATCGGATCATTTAATTCTTTATATGCAGACCTCACTGGCTCGAAGAGCGAATAAACAAGTTAATAAAGGTTTATTATAAAGTATTATTTAAACTGAAATAAAGCCTTTTCTTTACTGTCCTCGCTGTTTTGTAAAAGTTGGCATTCTCTCCTGTTTTTTCTTTTGTTTTCAAATTTTTTGCTGTTTGTTTTTCGAAATTTGTTTAGATTTGTTTGTAAAATTACCTGTTATGAACCGCTGGTTTGAATTGTTATAGATCTGAGACTGTATATGGTCATTGTCAACATTAAGTCATTAACAACATTTAACTATGTAATAACATGGTGGCCTCTTGCTATCACAGGGACGTTTACTGACATGTTTCCTCATCAAAGTATTCATTAGGGACGTTTAGACTAAATATTCCCTCGTCTGACCTGACAATCAGTGACGTTTTAGACTAAATATTCCCTCGTCAGTATATTCAATAGGGTTTAGACTAAATATCCTCATCAACAATGAAACAATACGCCTATTCTGGATTGCATACAATTTCCACGGAATTATGAAAAAATTGACTCAATTCTGATCTATGAAAACGTAATAGTTGATGTCTTTAGCCTTTAAAACCACAATACTTCGAGGGAAGGCCAAATTATCATGTAAGCTGCTAAAGCTCTGTCAAAGAAAAAATTGTATATTAGAAATGCTAAGAAAGCTAACGAGGATAAACAAACATTCGTTTTACCATCAACTGTAGCCAACGTAATTTATACATCTTACCTTTTGTTCTTTTATTGTCTTTACGTCTTTGTTTGAAAAACGCACACAAAAGGCAACTGCAGAAAACGCCTAGCAAACAGAGAAGTGAATATTCGTTACAAGTATGGTAAACAATAGAGTTGTGGTTTCGCAAAGTTTACTTGTAAGTGCTGGAAAGCTGTTTCCTCAGTGTGGAGTAGCGTGCGTGAGAATATAAACATGCACTTATGCCGACTGCCACAATTATTTAACATTTTATTGAATTTTGTTTTGCCTCAAATCCTACCCTTTACGAATCGACAATAATACTTTAAATGTGTTAGAAAATTTGGAAACAAAGAAAAAATTAAGATACATACATTGGTTGACGAAACAATGTTATAGAAGATAAGTTTTGATATTTTACCTCTGTTTAGACAAAGCGCCGAAGCAAAATTAATGCATCTAAACTGGGTGAACACGGCAAAACAGGTTAATGACTTCAAGTGCTAAATGACGAAAAATGATATTGTTCCCATTGCATTATTTTAAGTTCTTAAATATTAACTATGTTAACACTAAATTTAATTTTGCTAACATTCATTGGTAAAAAATTGTAACTAAATACACCAAGTTATGTCGAACCGAACTATACGTAAAATTTACAACATGAAACCAGCTTTTTATTTCTTACTCTTTGTTCACAAGACGACAGCAGCACAAATACAATGAGAATATGGCAAAAATAATGCATCAAGAATAATGACTTATGAATGAAAATGGTTTAAGTGATTGGGTTCAGCGGTAAAATTAAGAACAACAATTTAACATTTTCAATATTAATTTTAATTTGGTAAAAACAAACTTCTAGTTGATGCATTGGACAACCACTTCTTTGGTGTATCAAAGTCTACTACAACAAGCAAGGATCATTTCAATTTAGGCATTTAACATTTCTTCGTAACTTAGCTATGTTAATTAGCTGTAAAGTGTTGTTAAATACGTTTTGATGTGAACAGGTGGAAGGGAAAAGCATGTAGAACACATAAATTT